TCTACATCGGCCTGTGTGTGTGTGTGTGTGTGTGTGTGTGTGTGTGTGTGTGTGTGTGTGTGTGTGTGTGTGTGTGTGTGTGTGTATCCCTGCAGCACTCTCTGTTGACCAGTTTTAACTTCAGGGTTATTATTAGGACATGGATAAAGATTAGAATAATATTCACATCATCCACACATTATCTTTTAATTTAATAACTATTTAGAATCAGAATTAAATTATAATCTGCTTTATCTTTATCGGTTTCCACTGGCTCTTGATTTTCTTGCATACAAAAAATAAATAAAGCAAGATAGTTATGTCTAAACACACACTTTGTGTTTCTCTGTTGAGCTGCACTCAGATACTAACAGAAAGAGGGAGTTTTGTACTAACAAGATTAACTTTGGAAAATGCCTTCTTAATTTGTCTAACTCAGACTCAAGGGCGTCACTTTGTGTTGAAAAGTGGTTAGGGGTGTGAAGAGACACTTAGCTTGTGACACATCACCATATGTGATATTAAGTCCACAAGAATGAGATGAAAAGATCCTTAAATAGTGCTTTAAAGATATCTTCAAGCGGGGGGTCTGGGGGGACCTCCCTCAGGAAATTTTGGTAAATAAACACTTCATTTCCTGCAGTCTGGTGAAGGTTTCTACACCAATTTATGGTGGAAATGTATATTTCCACCAATATTTATGTAAAAGGAAAAAAATTCATGTGGCAGGTGATATTTCAAAATATATAAACATAATCTCAGGCATTCTGTGTTGCTTTCAGATCTGTTTCTCCTGTAGAGCAACTTTTCTCATGTAATATCATCCCTGCTGAGGCGACACATATGCAGGCATGATTTAGTCTTCCCTCCTCTTTTGTCATGTTCACAGGGAGAGAACGGAAAACTTGGCCAAAAAGAAACCGTGTCAAGAAATTGTTAAAGTTACTGATTGGTGGAAGCGCGTATATGGGTCATTTTATAATCAGTTGCTTGTTTTTGTTTTTATAGATTAAGTTACTGTTTTTGGACAATGCACATTTGTTTCTTCTATGTTTTAATTGCATTGCATGTTTTCTTAATGTTTTTTTTAACAAATTATGCTTTCAAAAAGTGATGGGGACATGTCCCCAGCGTCCCCAGTGTAAACTATGGTCAGACTACTGATCATCCGATAAGTAAGCAGCGTAAGTGGTATATAAATGACTGATAATAACACACTTAAGTGTAATGTAAGTGTTGATTATGTTTTGTGTTTATTTTTCAACTATAACTCCTCCTGTGGACAGCCATAAGGGGAGGCCACTATGAACAGATAATGAATGAGATATGAAAGTTGTAAAAAATATCAATGATGTTTTCATAGGAGACGTTATTACTGTAGCTAACAAACCTTTTTGAGAAGATATGTTTTATGTCATGTCACATTTTTGTTTTCATAGAAATACGCACCTCCAACTATCTCAGATGCAGGTGTTTTGGAAAGTATCACTGTCACACAGGGACGAAAGACTACATTCTCTGATTTGGTCAAATCATTCGAAACACCAGTAAAAAAAAAGAACCAGTTGCTTCTTTTTGTTTATAGTGTCTTCTACAAGTGTTTGTTGCCAGCTCACCACACCAACTATAATATTTAATATGCTGCAAGGAGTGACGATAATGAAACTGTCATTCATGTCTGACTCAGCTGAGATCAGCTTCAGTGGATTTGTTTAGCTTGTTATGTTCAGAACCAAATAACTATCACATAAAAAGGATAGTTTGGACGGATACCGGATCCCCATGCTTTTCATAACATCAGTCAGTCCCTAGTGGTGAGGGAACGAGTTTATGTAAGGACCATGCAAGGATGAAGAGGATAAAACAGAAATGTGTGTGAATGTGCAGCTGTACATGGGCATCTAGTGAGAGAGTTTTGAGTTTTTCATAGCTCTGAGAATTTTTAGTTATTTATTTTTTGATCTGCAACCCTTTTCTGGCTCTACTGTTCATGCATATACATGTGTGTGTATAAGTTTGTTTGTCCTGCTATGCACGCAGATAAGAGTTGTGTCTGGGCTCCTGGAGGAATGCAGCAGGTACTATCATTAAAATCCAGGCGGCGTTTCCATGACTGCTTCTGAAGTGGCGGTTTCCTGCAGCAGTGTTGTCGAACTCATTCCTGTCTTTTTGTGTTGATATAATTCCTAATTCCTCCTCTCACTTGTTGGAATTCTCATTGAAGAAAGAGACAACAGCAGCCAGTGAATGAGAGCTTGACCTGCCAGTGAGTGAGCATAAATTAACTTTGCATGGAGAGGAGCTGGGTTTCAAATCCAATCGCTGGAAAAAAAAACACAAATACATGGATGTTATCACTAGATTGTGTCACCAAAGTAAATGCTAATTCAGACTTTTAAAAAAATCCTGTTGGTCTCCACCACCTGATTCTAACACATGCACTCTCACACTCACAGAGGCTGACCACGGCTCTTTGTAGAGACTTTTAAGTCACTCTCGCCAGATCCATGGCAACCACTTGTTGAAGCCTCACTGCTTGTTGCTAAGTGATGGGATGTATTGGACCAGAAAATCCTTTCACTGACACTCCCTCCACCCCCTTTTCCACCCACCGCTTTCCCTACCCCACCCTACCCACCGCAGCTATAACAACCCACATATGTGCTCTATCTACTGCTATAGTTAAATAACAAGCAATGTTCTTATTTTGTCAAATTCAACTTGTATTTAAACACACTTCACCAAAAGAAGGTGCTATTGTAACTTTTTATTATTGACAAAGTTCTACATATTCACTAGTACTATAGGCCTATCTAAGACATTTGAAAATAACGCTTCACAGCAGCAGTATCTATCTAGTATATTAACTGTGCCCACCCATTGTTTTAACAATTTAAATTTTAGAGTCACATTTGGTTTAGATAGAAGAACCCTGCTTTATGTCTGTATGGTTCCTTGAGAGAGTTCCAAATGAGGTTCCAGGGATTCTTAAGGGGCTCAGGAAGTTCCCAATGGGGGCTGCTGGAGTCCTTAGTTATCCAGGTCCAAGAAGGTGCTAGGCTGTAGTATAATTATACTAAATGACATCACTAGATATTTCTCTATACACAACTGACCATTGCAACCATATACAAGTTTTATAATTTAACTAAAATGTATCAGACCAACACCCCCTCACATTCAGATATAATTTGGGAAGCTATTGGTTTGCATCTGTTCTCTGTTTGCTGATCCTGGTGCCCTCATACTTTCCCCACTCCCTCCCATCCCATCCCCTCCCCTCAGTGACCGATTAGCCAGTGCGGGATTCTCTCCCATTTCCATGAGAAAGGCGACGGTCGGTGAAAGGGTTAAGCCTGAGGACGAAGCCCCAAAAAGCAGCCCTAATTTTCTGCCCGGCGGGGGAGTGGGGGAAGCGGGGACAGGGAACAAAGACGCCCGGGGGAGGGGCGGAGACTCCGGCTTTACTATATGCACCTGCGGCCTGAAAAGCCCCGGACAATGAGACTCCGACACGGCCAATTACGAACGGGCCATCCACCCGCTTTCTCTGTGGAGAGACATGGGGGAGGAGGGAGGGGAGTTAAATGCAGGAGGAGGGGAACGGAGAAAGTGAATTTTTAAACAGGGTAAAGATAAAAAAGTAAATAATCGAGCTTTAAATCATTCTAGGCACTTGTCCTATAGACTGCCGCCCCCCATTCACCCTCACCCATCACATCTTCCCATCCTTGCTAGACTCATGTTGTCCTGCTAATGTTCACTTTTGTCCGTTTTATTCTGAGCGGCATCGGGCAGCGCTGACGGCTCCGCCTGTGAAGACGCTGTGAAAGTGAAAAAAGGTCGATTTTGATTGCTGTTAGCCTATGCCATTCTTATTTTCTATAATGGTTTGGATGGGTGAGGTCATGTTTGAAGCAACAGCTGATAAACACCAAAACTAAGGTGCGGTGAGGCAGATAACCAGCTTTTCCAATGCACCTGAGGGGGAGAGGAAATGATTTGGCTGTGATTCAATTGGGTCTTCTGAGAAAGTAAATATTTAACAGTAATAAGCATAAAACTGTTAGCAATAATATCAGAAAATACATCTTTGTAATATGACTACAATTAGACTATAATAGGCTACAGTTTGTAGGCCTATATGGAAAAATATGGAAGTTGTATACTGACCATACAAAAAAACAAAAATGCGGATTTGATAAAAGTTGGTAGCAAGTTTACCAATTGATTTTCAAGTGATCTGAAAATTAATGCAATGATCGTCTGAAAGGTAGGAAAAATACATTCAATAAAAATCTCAAACTCTGGCCTGATGTGAGAACAGATCAGCAGTTTTTTTTAAAAGAGATAAAACTAACAAAACACCATTTGGTCCTCTAAGGCAGTATATTACTAGCAAACAATTGCTAAACACTACTTACACTTAATTAGGTAGGCTATGCCTGTATAATCTAATGCAATCCAATCCAGCAGCTCAGCCGTACATTTTACCTTGACAAAGATAATGTTCAGCTTTGGGTGATGCAGTCAGAAGAGTTAATTCAAGGGTCATGATTAGTGCTGGTCTTGTACTGGACTGTGTTGCATGTATATTGAGAGTTGTTTCTAATATTCTGCCACCACATGTATGTAATTGGACTTGAAACACCTCAATATAATGCATATTTTTGTATAGTACAAAACCAGCAGTATCCAACACGCAGTTGAAAGAACACATGTAAACAAAACCTGAAGAATTAGATTATACTTATTCAGCTGATGAGAACCACACGATAAGCTCAAAAAAGGAAAATGGTAAGTGGGCCTTGAGTTGGGATTTTCTTGTGTCAAATGAACAGTTGTTCACACTGCTGTATTGGATTGAATTAAAACATTGTACAAGTGTGCCTAATAAATTGGCCACTGAATGTACTTTTGTCATTGTGTTAAACTTAACTCCTTCGGAATTTCAGTCATTAACTGCTTTTGAACATTTTACATGACTAGTGGGAAAAAAAAAAAACGACATTAATGAAAAACAGATTTGTACTTTTTATTAATATTGTTATGAATGCCATAACAAATATTTTTTTAATCAAAAAGGAATCAAGACTCTTAGTATAAGAGCCTAAAAATGTATACAGTACATTTACATGAATGCTACACACAGTAACTAGTATATGGCAGCATTTACATACAAGATCATTCATTCTAAAAATAGAGATACAAGTCAGTATAAAAGTTAAGTTTTCAAATACTTGGGTAGCATTGTAAACATTCATGCATCACTTTAATAGAACTGCTCTCCCAGTTCAAGAAGTAGGGCATCCGTTTCCAGTGCATGTTTAGTAATGAATGCTTCAAAAGTTAAGAACTTATCTGAATAAATCTAGCACATTCAATATTCTGTTTTTGGAGGTTGAAAATAAAAGTTCCCTTTAGCTCCATAGCAGCACTAGTAACCAGACAGCAGGCTAGACAGAGAAAATGACAGTACAGCAGCACTAGTAACTGACAGCAGGCTAGACATGACAGAGTCAGTTTGAGAGAACCAGGATTAAAAAGGATTGTTTTTAGTATGATATAATTAACCACAGGTTACGTTATCTGTGACAAGATGGAAGGTTTGCTGGAGATTTTATCTGAACGTTACTATGATACATTCTTACTGGTAGTCAAAACACAAACCATTGACAGGTCATTAACAAACATGCCTGGAAGACGTTCGTCAGTCCAGTTTGCTTGGTGGAACATAACTTGCAAGTCTCATCTGCTGTTTGGATAAAACTCCTCAACTGAAATGTAGCATTTCATATTACATTTCATTCACTTACTGAAAAGCCTAAACACAATATACCTCTTGCCTAGAGCAAAGTGACAATGAATACACATAGCAACTCTGGATGCTGCCAGAACGCCGCATCCGAACATTTACATTAAAAAAAGATAAAAACTAAAACTAAATATAGCAATTATAAAAACTCAGGCAGCAAAGACAGCATCATACCACTTCTCAGACTCAAAAACTGTCAATCCAGTGATCTGGTGTGACCAGAGGACACTAGACCTACTGAATGTAGAACTAAACTGGTTTTACATTCCAAGCAAAACCACAAGTCATCGAAGGCAGTGTATTCTGTTCATTTCCTGTGGATGCAGTGCCAATTGTCCAACAGGTGTTTTTCACGTCATCCAGCAGGATTTCAGTTAAAAATAGAAAAATAAAGAGTTAATTTTAAAAACAGCTCTGTCATTCGCGTTGTGCATTTCCTTTCCGGTTTCCCCACCGGCACCCAGCTGTTCACCAGCTCCGCTCGCACATCAGGGCAGCAACAAGAGATAATTGACAACCAGAGCACTTCAGCAGGTGATTTGTCGTCTGTCACCAGCTGAGAGATTGGGATCCATGGCACCTGGGCACAAGGTTGCCAGGTCATTTGTCTCTGTAGGGACTGGCTTGGTGGTCAAACAGCAGAAGACTAAATCCACTAACTGCACCAGTCCCCTGGCACTGACTGGGTATGGATGAACTGTCAAGAGTGCCAGTGTCACAAGTGTTTAGGGTGGTATTAAAGAGTATTGACTTGTAATGGATAAGTTCTAAAACATATAAAAAGACAAAACAACATTTCCTAATATGTACAAAATAAACAGATGTTGCGCCTGTCTTCACTGCTGTCCTTCATGGAGAGACGTCTGCTGGAGAGTGGTAGGCGGGGGGGGGGGGGGGGTGTCAGCTCTGCAAGTGTGGTGGTGGGTGTGTGGCATTTATCTGAACTGATGTGGCACCAAAGAGGTAGACAAGAACTTTTCAATCAGTTGTGCATCTGTAATTGTAGGCACATGTGGAACCTCATCGAATACAGGGGGGGAAAGGGGGTAACATCTTGTGTCTCTTTGCTTTGCCACTCTAAAATTCCTCCCCACACCTGAATTCATCTCCTGTCCAGCCAGCTGTGCGTCATAAGCATCTGTGGTGCTCTCACTCAGTTCACCCCCCCACGCCTACAGGATTCCTACTGCAGTCCTAGATGTGTGTGAGTGGGACGGTTCCGTTGAGGTAGTGCTGCTGGACACTAGTGTAGGCCCTCTGTGCTGTTGTGGGGTCACCGGCATCCCCTCCTGGTCCAGGAATGTACATGCTGATCATGTCCCTGAGGTCACCTTGCAAAGGACCCCGGTGGTGGTTTGGCGTCCCTGTTGGAGGCGAGTGGGACAGTGGTTCTGCTTTCACCATGGACATTGTGACAGGGCTTGGCTGCTGGGGGCTGCTGCTGTATGACATGGGGCTGTGGGGAGAAGACAATACAAGTTAAACACCATCTGAGAATTTAAAAAATATACACACACACACACACACACACACACACACACCTGGTTAGCGGGAGACATCAGACCACACATGTAAATGTCTTTACTCCACATTTACAGGAAGTAATCAGACATCTCTCCCATTTTTTGAAGTTGACTTTTATACAAGGATGCTGTTGGACTTTAGGTCATTACTGAATGGGCTCCTGTTTGCATTTTATCACAAACATATGCACATGTTAAGCAGAATTTTCCCTGTGTTAACAGAGTTTCTTTTAGTGCTTTACCCAATTTAAGAAAGCCATCTCTCATCCACATGGCTTTTAACAATTAGGTTAGTAAAATAAAATGCCAACAAACAGGTTCCTTTAACCCATGTAAACTTTAACCAAACTGCTCCTTATACAATAGGCAGAGAGAAGGTGTACACCTGTAGTGTCTTCAAACCCAAGGCAGATTAATAATAATCCTCATCACACACATGTTGAGACAGAGACAGATCAGGGAGAGTAACCGCTGCATGTCTGCAGAAGAACGCTAGCCGAGTTTACAATGATACCTTCAAACTCTGGAAATTCAGTCAAAAAAAAAACATAACATAAAACCACAAAAGAATTAAATATTTTTTAAAAAGGTACCGTGATGTGCTCTGCAAAGTTCTTGATCACCGTCATAACATCAGGTTTAATTTGCCGAATGAAAACTAATAAACCTGGGTCTCAGTGGGGGAAGACATTTCTTTTTAAAACGAGCATTTAACCTTCAGGTAAGACTAAAAAAACTGGGTGGGTGATTCTACTGGAATCACAGCCTTAGAGCATGTCAGGTATGTTTTCACAGAGTAACAATGAATCCACAAAAAAAACTTTGCCACATGATTTTGTTTCTTTTTTTGCTTTCTAATTTTCAAAATCTGTCTCCATTTTCAGTCAAACAGCATTTAGGGTCAGGAGGAGACACAACAGGATAATAGGACTTAAATCCCAAATAGCTGGTCAACTTTTGGAAAACAGTGTCAGACCTGTTACTGTTAATCAGTGGGAAAGGATGGGCATCAACACGTTTGGCCAACATGACTGAAAGCGTTTGACATCTAAAGTTGACATGCAAGTAACTCATATCAAAACATCTTTTAGGAAATCTTTACATGATTCACCTGCGGGAGAAAACCTTTTATACTTTTGGTTTTTGCATTTTAACACTGGAGGTTGAGTCATCAGTCAAAAGGACCAAGTTATCAGACACTGGAATAAAGTTCATCATCTATCCTCACACCTGAACATTTGTGTGTTCAATCTTTGTAGTTTGAGGGACATGAGACCGATGGCAGAACCAGAAATGTAACTGGGGACAATGGCTGAGCAGGAATAGGGGTTTGTGGGTAATAGACCACACACAGAGCAGTCCTGCCTGCTGTCAAGTCATACTGATCAACATTCCAGGCAGGACCCAGCCCAGAGCAGCGCACCACACGCATAACAAGTAGGCAACAGACTGAAGCCTGTTGTTTATCGTATGCAGAGTTCCTCTGTGGCTGAATGTACTTTAGCTCAACATTCCTACCCAATTAAAAGTATCATTTCAGTGCTTTCTTACAAGTCAGTTTTTGCACAGCAGGTGCACTCTGTAGATTGAGAATTGGAGTAGTTGGAGGTGTATTTTAGACCAAGTCACAAATTTGTAAAAAAAAAAAAATTAAAATTAAAAAGACACCCCACGCAAGTATGTGGAAAAGGTATAGAATAGAGCTGCAGTGATTAAACCCATTAAATTAATCGTCAACTATTTTGTAAGTAAGTAAAAACCGAACAACAAAATCTAATTCTTCTGATTCCAGTTTCTTCGATGTAGATATTTTCTGGTTATATATTTTCTATTTACACCTCTTTGACTGTAAACTTAATATCTTTGGGTTGTGGGAAAAAAACACAAGAACTTTGAGGACATCATCATGGGCTTTGGGAAACACTTAAACATTTCACCATTTTATAGCCCAAGCTACTAATCAATTAGGATGAATAAAATCTCAAGTTGCTGCCCTAATATAAGACAAATGTAGTTATGGCCTTGTTCTGCATTTGAACTAGTTTTGAAAAGCAAGGTCTGCCGAGGCAAAGTGGTGAGGGAGAACCCTATTTACATAAGAATCAAAGCTCAATTTAAATGAGCAATGTAAAAATGCATAATTTAAATGCCTTGACCTGAATTAAGTGGCTTACTGCTATTTGATCTCTGCACATGCTTTCCCACTTATTTAAAGATGTACTTTGGACTTATCAGGAGAGAATGGTGCAAAGTGCTCACACTATTTGATCCATCTTTTTTGGAAAGGTTATGTAATAAAATATTGGCCTTCTGTTCAGTACCTTTTAAGTTTTATTTGAAAGCAGAAAAAAAAAGTGCCAGATTGTATCTGATGCAGATGGAGGTGGATCCCCTACAGAGCATGTTAAGTGCCCACATTTGATGGCTTTCTTTGGGGTGGGTGGGGGGCTGGGGGGCTCATCTCACTTTACTAAGCATATAGCTACTTTTGATATCAATAGTTTGTCTTTCGCAACCACAAAAACTGCCTCAGGTCCATGACAAAAATATAAATGAATAGGCTATGAAAACAGTTGACTGTCCGTTTGCCTAATAGTTTGAGTAGCACAGTTAAACACTCCATAGACAGGGTCAAAGTTATCGTTTAGAAAGTGTATTTCGAATTGTACTTGCAAATTAGGCAGTTGTGGAAGGCCGCACTTTATTTTCACCTCCACCAGCAAGTAGCGTGATTTAAAAAAAAGAAAGAAGCCAAACTGTTACACAATCCGTGGAAGTTATTACTTAATTGTACAACTTGATAACCGTGTCGGGATCACTAAGACCTGTAAACACACTGTGGCTCCCAACAGACGCAGCTCACCTGTACGAGTTGCCTCCGTTCATGTAGGTCTGTGCCGCCGACATTGCAGGTGGGTACTGGAGAGCGGACAGGTCGTACCGGTGTAGCTGCTGTGTGTAGCCCAGCGCCTCGCCCTGCATGCCGGCGTACCCCCCGGTGGGGCCCCAGCCGTAGCTCTCCATCCTCGGACTACCACCTTGGCCTTGCGCCGCCGCCGCCAGCAGGTTCCCCGCTGACAGCGGGTACTTGCCCACCTGAGTGTCCTTTTTAAGCAACGGCTTTGTCTTGCGGCGTGGCTTATATTTGTAGTCGGGGTACTCCTTCATGTGGACTGCCCGGAGCCGCTTGGCCTCGTCGATGAAGGGCCGCTTCTCGGCGTCGGTCAGGAGTTTCCATTCGGCTCCCAAACGTTTACTTATCTCAGAGTTGTGCATTTTGGGGTTTTCTTGGGCCATCTTGCGCCTCTGACCCCTGGACCAGACCATGAAAGCGTTCATGGGCCGCTTGACTTTATCCATGGGGTCGCCTCCAGGTGCGCATGCCGTTTTGGAGCTCGGGTGAGAGTTGCCATTGCTGCCCATGCTCCCGGTCATGTTGCCGGTGACCGGTGACATTCCCTGGGAGGTCTGATGAGAAAGAGGCTGGCCGGTCGGCTTCAGCTCGTGTTCCATCATGCTGTACATGTTGGACGGAATCAGAAAGTAAAGTTAAGCTGACTTACAAACTGGTCGAAGCGCACAGCGTCGCGTCCACCTGGCAGGTTTCCCTACAGGTTTAACCGGGAGCGCCGGGTGATCCAAATTAACTAATTACTCACGACGCACCCGGGAGACAAACCAGAAGGCAACGAACGACCAGTTTTTCTTAAATTATAAGACTGATTGGGGCAGTCATTAGGCCTACTTTAACAAGCTACTGAAGATATACAAAAAATCAGCCGCTGCCTCTCCTTAGTGCTTTGGATTAATTCTCAGCGGAAAACCACTTGTTGTCAGTCGGCCAGCTCACACACTGAACACAACTGCCTGCTCACTCCAAAAGTTCCCCTGTTCTCGTGCAGTGGGCCGGGTGTGGACCAATGGGAGAGCGCAAAGCTTCAGTCCGTGCACGTGCATTTCCAACTGAAAAGACACTTGTTGATGGCGGGGGCGGGGACAGGAGAGGCATTCCAGGGGAAACCAGTATCTTAATAATCAATTATCATCAGCTAGACTGATCAGATTGTTCAAATGTGAAAATCGGATTTAAAAACACAGTTCTCTACAAAGAGAGAGAGTAAAAATCAGCTCAGTCAGTCCTTTGAACCCACACGGACCACTACCTACAGCCGTACAGTTAATGCATTTACATTTTAGAAAATTACGAGCTAAAACTACAAAATATAGGTTACTAAAAGTGATATAATAGTCAAAGTATTGCGCTATTAGCCTACTTATTGTAATCACATTGCAATTTGCAAAAATAAACCCAATATCAACTATTAGGCTATTTTAAAATGATGTAGGCTTCTTGTGTTGGCTATTTTTCAAGAAGTCCTTGAATGACTCCCACATCTTTTCAAAGTTCCGTGGTTTCCCTGTATTGCAAATTTTTCCATAAAAGGCGAGCTAAATAGATTTAAAACCCAGGCAAAGCATGGACACTGGAAGTACCCAGGCAAAACCAGCAAGGATGCATTTAAAAAAAAAAGTTTTTCATGTTTTCCCCTGTCTTACAAGGACCGCAGCAGGTGGGTTTTCTATCGCGTGCGAGTACATTGAGGTGTTTTAGAGGTTCAGTATGAACAGACACAAGTGTCCCTGAATAACTTGTTAAGCAAGTCATGGGTCACATCTCTCGCCTGCGTCCAGGTGCCGCCTCGCTCCCTCTTCCTCTCCCGTCAGTTCCCACGCATTAGTCCAGCGTTGGCTGTGTAGTAGCTGAGGCAGTTTTCACATATTACATACAAATGATCCCGGCCATTCAAATTAAAGCAAAACCATGACTATCGCCCAGCATTCAGGATGACGTCATTATCCAGACCTAGTTTCTATTAGCACTCCCAACTCTGACTGACTTCCAGCATCTCTGAGATGGTTTTTGTACTTTTCAAAAAACAAAGAGGAAACTGCAAATATAATAAACAATCTTCTTATCTTCATGCCTTAATAAGAAAAAACATCCTGTATCTGGAGCCCTAGACCACCACATAAAAGCACAGATGTCTTTATATTGAGACCAGATTAACCCCTTTGAGGACCTCAGGGCAAAATTAGTTTTTCACCCATGCACCACTTCTTCAAGTTGTATTTAGGTGCCCATCAGGTACAGCATGGACTGCAGACTACAACTTGCAATTTAATTATGGTTTTTCTTAGAGTCCCAGAAGAAACCAAACAGTTTAAAAGTTTTAAAACTAGGCTAGATGTTGGCATAGCACCCCTCTGTAAGTTTAAAAATGCAGCACCTGCCCTTACCTTTCCATCTTTTATTGTGCTTAAGCGGTTCATATATCTAAACATATTTGCAATTAATCAAATTACTACAAATCAGTTGTCACACGACCTGCAGCTTTTGGGGCCCATAAGGGTCCTAGTGCAGTCACTTTGCATGACTGGTAATCAAACAGATACTACCAGGGCAAATAGAATAGATGAAAGTTATCTTCTGCAGGCTATAGGCATAAATCTTGAGTTCATAACAGTCATGGTGTATCTTTTGTTCACTGACATGAGATTACAGTTTCCCTACTTTGTATTTTCTGTTAGATTTGTTACTTTTATTTATTCCAAGATTATGCAAAAAACATTGCAACTGCTTTTCCTCAAAATATCCCTCCCCCTTTAACACTAAGTAAACTAGTCCAAACACATTTTTATTTGTCCAACTAACTGCAAATAATATGCTTATTGTTGGTTCTTTAAAGTCAAGCTTTTGAGAAGCCTGACCGTCTTTTTAGATGGATGTGCTGAAGACATTTCCCTTTACACGAGTATTGATGACTGCCAGAGTCTTTGTTAACAGCAGTGTTCTCCAAAACTACAAGGACCATGCTGTCTCAGCAAGTTAACTTCAGTGGTGTAGTGGGTAAATCCATCCTTTTACCAGTTGCACATGTATGTATATTCTTTATCACTGCAGACAGGAATGGGCAGTTTTTATGAAACATGTATTTCAAATACAAAATAGGATTTTGTCATTTGTATTTGATTGGCTTAATGAAAATGTCTTCATATTTAGTATCAAATTACGTGTGTTTTGTATTTTGTAGTTTCAAAATACTGTAAAATACTTTGTGAGAAGTCTAGGTTCCGCCTCTGATTGTTGCCTGCTCAGTAATTTGCCCAGACTTGTAGAGATCCGGTTAAGGTGAGAAACGTGTAGCTTTCCATCATAACAGTTCCTGTTCCTGAGTTTTGGTGTTTATTTTAGCAGCCTGGGTTAAATCATTTACCAATTTATATAATGTTAACTTTTTGACCCGAGTAGCAGCTCTCACAGTTAACGCTAGCATGCTACTTTCAACCTTAAGTTTTCATTGGTTGTGCTCTGAAAAAAAGCGTTTCAGAGTTTTTGTACAAAATTATAATATAATGCCACAAAATGATGTAACTTGTTAAATGCACACACTTTGCACACACAGCATTTGGTCAAACCATCCACACTTGTGTTTGTTTTAACTCAGATGATGCAGAGGCTCTTCATTACCAAGCAAACTGTTAACTGTTGAAACATTTAACCGTTGGTTACTTTAAAATGAACCTTCATCTGGGTGATCACAGGGTTATGTGAATATTTGATCTGTTAACTGGTTGCCTGTCAGATTTATCGCTTGACTCATTAGGCAGAGATTAGCTGTTGCTCTCAAACATTGCCCAGTTAATCAGCTGAGTCAGTGTACTTGAGTCAGTGTACTTGTGCAGTGATAGATAAAATAGGCTGATAGAAAGAAGGTTTGCAAAGTCATTTCACGGTACCTTGGGAAAGTATTTTTTGTATTTTTGAATTACAAAAATGGCGTGACTGCTGTAATTTGTACAAAAATAAATTAAATACATTATGATGCATCTTTGCCCATCACTGATTGCATCCCTGAACATATTGATGACTGGTGTTTTCATGGACTAAAGAGATGGATTGTCTTTTTTTAAATTCATTAATTCATTAATTTGCTTCTGTTATGGTTTTGGTGTTTTGAATTGTGTTAGTTTATGTTTTATTTTGAAATTATTATTCCTGGTGTGTCTTGTGTCTCCAACAGCCAGCTAATTTCCAGCCTAGCATCCAGCCTGCACGTCAGCTGATTAGGATCAGGGTTGTGAGTCTACAGATATCTGGCCAGCTCTGAGATTCAGCTATCCAACACTCCCGAGATTCTGCTGTGCAGCTCCCCTGAAGGTCAGCTGATCAACGTGCTGACTTTGTTGTCCAGCTCTCCAGGAACTCACCTGACCAGCTTCCCTGAGATTCACATGTCTAGCCCACCAGAGACTTTGTCACCGAGCTCCTCAGAGACTTAGCTGTCCTGCTCCAGAGACTAGACACATCATCAGATCCCTCCAAAAGCTGAAAGAAAGCAAATTTGTTCCTCTCAGTATTCAGTGTTACATTGTAAAACACAATAGCGTTTACTGAACTTCTCCTGTTTCCTCACATGTCAACCAGCAACAGCTGAGTGTGCCAAAGTTTTTGGTCGCTTCCCCATGCACTGATCTCTGACTCACCAGTTGATCACTCACTGGTCTACACAAGTACAACTTTACATCAGATGGATATACAAACCAGTGTGTTACAGCTCTTGTTGATGAACAAATCTAGACTGGTGTTTTTCAGTGTAACAGGCATGTTGATGAGAACGATTGGGTAAAACCGACTGAAAACGCACATCTAGTGGCCATTTACGTACACAGGAAGCAGATTGTCTACTCCGCAGCTGCAGAAGACAAAGGATAACTGTGACAGTGTGACAAGTCCAAAATATTTTAATAAAAATACTTAAACATAAACACTGTCAGTAGCATTGTTTTTTGCTTTGTATGACTGATAAGATCCATCCAGGAAACCAAACATGAGTGTCTGCATCATTTTTTTAAAAGTCATCCATTTTCGCCTGTCCACACTAAAACGCTACCCCAGAGTTTTAAAAGGAAAACGAGGTCAGCGGTGTTGTCAAACGTCTCAGTTTTAGATCTTCGATTTCGCCGTTATAGTCTGGATGGGAGGTGCGAAACGTAGCAAAAGGTCTGCGTTTAAAAATGAAAAAGTAGTAGTGTGGATGGGGCCTGACTGGTAGGAAATTTCAGCTATTTAACATCTCTGGGGCCGGAGGTATTGGCCCTTCTGTGGTGGGCCATGTGTTTGTACAGAGGTTGTTTCGCTTCCCCGATATACAAGTCTGTGCGTTCCTCACTGCATTGGACATCATATACTAGATAGCTTTTCTTGCGTTTGGGTGGACTCTTAGTGTGTTCTTGGGTTTAAAATACATCAGGATGTGGTGTTTGTTGATACAGACACGTATGGAATCACGGTGTTGTTGCGTTTGCTCTTCTTTTCCTCTCTTCCTGGATCTTGTGGCCTTTTTCACAAAGGTCCCATTTGGATATCCCCAAGCTGTAAATGTCTCCTTCTTATTAGCTCGGTGGTGCAGGGTTTTGATGACCCCTAGCAATGCTCCAGTGGGTGGTGGGAATCGAAAAGTAGTGGTCTGTGTGTGCAGGTTTCCTGGATACTCCAATGTGCAGGCTTCTGTCCTCTTCATTATGTACGTCACCGTCCAGGAAGGCCAAACTGTTGTTGTTGTGAACATCTTCTCGTTTGAACTTGATGTTACTGTCCACAGAGTTGATGTGTTCTGTGAAGGCTTGCACTTCCAGGATTTTAAGTCTTAACCCATGTGTCGTCCACATGTTTGTACCAGCGGCTCGGTGCTGTTCCTCTGAAGGAGTTCAGGGATCTGCTTTCTACATCTTCCATGTAAATGTTGGCCAAAGTAGGAGATACTGGTGAGCCCATGGCACAGGCGTGCTTCTGTCTGTAGAATCCTATTTTG